AAGCAGCCAAATTAGTTAAAATTCCAGTTTTAGGTTGTTTAGTAGTTTCTAATACTTCAGTATAAATTTTTGCAGCTTCATTAAATTTTCCTTGTTTCTGAAGTATTTGAGCTTTTAACACTTTATCCTTTTCTTCTGAACCAAGTAAAGAAAGTGCTTCATCATACTTTTCAATATTATACTTAGCTAATGCTAATTCAAAATTCATTCCATTTTGTTTCATTGTTTCTTCAAATTGCATAACATCTTTTCCTAATTTAATTGATGAAATAATTAAAATTTTAAAGACATTAACATCGTTTTGTTTTTGTGAATATACTATCATCTCAATTATTTTCTTTCTTAATAAAATTATAAATTCTATAATAGAAATTCATTATTAAGTTATTAATTATTTATATAAAACAAACATTCATTTGATATTTTATAAATTTCATTTAAGTCTTCTTTTTTGTTTTGTTGAATAAGTTTCTTTAACTCCTCCATGACTTGCTTTTTACTTCTTTTTAAGTTCTTTTTAAAATTAAAAATGTTATGTAAAACATTAATTAAATTTTATTTTTGTTAATCTTTTTATTCCAATTATTTTTTCAATTGGATAGACAGTCTGCTCTTTTAATGTTGTGTTTTGTTTTGTTCAACTGAAGTTAATTCTCCAATAACTTTTCTTTTTTTTCAGCTGATTCACTACCAAATTCTATTGGATTTTGATGAGACACTTTGTTTTCTTCTTCTTTTCTTTTAATGCACTCTCCAATAACATCAACCACTTTTTGTTTTATACTTTCTTCATTCTTCTTTTCTATTGTGTTATTTAAATTTTCTTGAATTAATGTATTTTCTTCAGTCTTCTCTGAAAGTGTATTTGACGTTGTGTTTTGAAGCTGTTCAACTTCAATAGATTTTGTAAGTTTTTCTTCTTGGGTTTCATTGCCTTCTTTTCCTAAAGAGGGGTTTTGAATAATTTCAGGTATATCTCCTGTGTTAATTTTTTCTACAAAATTATTATTATTTATATTCTGAATATTTTTAATAGGATTATCTGAGGGAATAATGTCAAGGTGTTCTTGTGTATTTATACAAGTAGTATCTTGTTTTTCTTCTTGACTAGACTGTTCATTGTCTTGAACAACAGATGTATTTGTTCCATCTTCATAACATCTTTTTAAGTGGTCTGCTAATTTAAATAGTGGTAAATAATGTTGAAGAGTTGTTAAAGCAAGTTCTGAGTCTTTAGCATTATCTTCTGTGACACCTGGTTGTGGTGTTTCAATAACAGACTCTGGGTTGTCAACTTTTTGAGGTAATTTAGAAGAAATATTTTGATTAGTATTTTCTTCTGGAGTCTCATTAGTTATTAATGGTTGTTCTGATGATATTTTAACTTCAGGTTGTTTTATAGGTTCTAGTGTTTCTGTTTGTAGTACTGGAGGAATGTTCTTAGATATTGTTATTTCTTGATTTTTTTTCAAGGTTTCAAGTTTTCTCTTTATCTCTTCAATTTTTATAATCAGAGTTTCATCAATTTTAGTAATCTGAGTACCAAACAGTTCTTTTAGTATCATTGAAGATTGTTCAACAGATTTTCTTGTATTAGCAGCATTTAAATCAAGTTGTTGACGTTCATTTTCAATTTTTTCTCTCCACCTTTTTAACTCTTCTTCTTTCTTTTGGTTTTGTTTTTTCAAACTTTCTTTACTCTCAAGTTCTTTTTTTAAATTTTCTCTCTCTTCTTCTGTAAATTCTTTTTCTTTAATTTTTTCTTCTTGAATAAGTTTTTTCATTTTTTCTTTTTCTTCTTGAATAATTTCATCAGAAGTTTTAAATGATGATGTTTTATTTTTATCAGACTTCTTAGGTTCATGAAGTTCTTTTCCTTCAACTTTACGTAACAAATTACTCAATCCAGTGTCAGTTTTCTTTCTATCAAGTTGAATTCCCATTTTAGTTTTCTCAATATAACCAGTTATTTTTTCTGGATCAATTTGACTTAATGACCTTTCTAATTCTAAAATGTATTGTTCAGTTTTTCTTTTAAATTCTTCTTTCTCTTTATAAAACTTTTTTTCTTCTTCTTCAATCATTTTATCAAATTTTTTTTGCATTTCTTGATTATTTTGTTCAATTTCTTTTAATTGTTCTTTTAATAAAGTTATTGATTCTTTTGTTTGATTTCTTTTATCAATATTTTCTTGTGAAGTAAGTTCATAATATTCTTGTTGTATTTCTGCTAGAGTATCTTCTATTGGTTGTAAATTAATCTCATTTTCATCAATAAGTTCTTCACACTTTCTCTGAAGTTCTTCTTTTTTCATTTTAACTTCATCTATTTGTTTTTTAATTTTATTTCCTTCATTTTGTTCTTCTTTCAAATCAGATTGAAGCTTATCTATATTTGATTTCATTTGATTATTTTCTTTTTCCATAGCTACTTGTTGATGTTCTTTTTGTTCTTTGAGTTCATTTAATTTCTTCTGTCCCTCTTTAATCTCGTTGCTAATATTAATTTCTTCTTGTTCTAATACACTCTTTTTTTCCTGGTAGATAGTGTTATTTGTATCCTCTTTTTGTTTTATAGCTTTTATTTCTTCTTCAAAAACTTCTTTTCGTGATTGTATTTCATCAATACTTCTCTCTATATCTTCTTTTTTTTCCATAAACTCAAGAATTGAATATTCTTCTTCACGTATTTTTTGAACAATATCATTGATTTGTTGTTGTGAATCATTTAAATCTTGAACAACTTCTTTAAATTTTATTTCTAACTCATCTTCTTTCTTTATGTCATTTTCATATTTCTTTTTTTTCACAGATTCTGATTGAATGGCTTGTTGAATTTTTTCATTGGCATCACGGAATTTATTATAGTTCTGTAAAAAGATAATTGCTCTACGATTATAAGCTTCTGCTTGTTGTTGTTTTGGTGTTTTTTCTTTTGTTGAAGAAAGCTCTTTTGCTTTTTTAGATATCAAATTATCATACTCCTCAATCTTGACAAGTTTTTCTTTAATCTCATTTGCAACTCTTAGAGCCTTTGCCGTACTCATTACTAATGGTTTCTTTTCATTTAAAAGAATCTCTTTTTCTAATCCAACCATACTCTCTTTTGGTTTAGGCATTTCTTCCAGTTTCTCTGGTTCTGTTATAATAGGAATATCTTCACTTAGATGTATTATTTCAACCATTCTAACTTTCTTTTTTTCAAGTTCTTTTATGCCCTCGTTTTTTCTCTTTTCACTATTTGTTATAAATAACATTATTAATATCCTTTTGACTCTTTTACTTTCTTTATTGATTATAATAAATGAGTGTTGTTTCTTTGACTCTTCTATAAACTAATTCAATATGACTTCTTTTTTAGTTTTGAAAATGAAAAATTAATTAAGCATTTATTAATTTAATACACATATTTAGATTTAGTTAAATAAATCTTTTATTTCATTACCAACGCCTATGGTTTGAAGCATTTCTTTTTTATAAAGTATTAAGTTTTTCAAGTCTAACTCGTTTTTCTCTTCATTCCATTTTCTGTGATAGTGTCGAAGTTTCGAATCTTCTGTTATTAGGAAAATAACTGTAATTGATAACCACTTTTCAAATATTTTTTCTTTAAATTAGAAAAATAAATATCACATCTTGGCATTGTGACGTTTTAAATTGGAATTTATTCATATTTAATTCAACAAAAGTTCAACTTAATAAGAATATTTATTGCTCGAAATTATAGAAACAAGGAGAATAAAAATATGACTCGAAATTAAGTTTCCTTAATTTATTTTATTTAGCATTTGCGAGTTTAATTTTTAACTATTCAATAAAATAGAGTCATTGTCTAATAGAATAAAAATAAGACTATATCATCCAATTTTTAAACACACCTCATTTTGTGTTCAAGCACGTTTTTTTTGTGAATGAAAGACAATCCTTCAAATAAGTATTATTAAAAACACTCACAACAGAGGAGATTAATTTTGTTATAACAAAATTTATTATAGTATTAAAGAATATAAATTTACAGAAAACTCGATTCAGAAGAGAAAAAAAATAATGTTCAAAATTCCTTATTTATCTAAATTGTGATATAATAGAATATAACAAAAAAACTAAAATTATAGTAAAAAAGTGTCTATCCAAAAATAGTTTTTTTAGTTTAGTTTATAAAAATAGATTATTTCAGGGTTTAGATGTAAAAAGAAGAAAGAAGAAAATTTTTTGAAAAAAAGGAGAAGAAAGATAAACACGTAAGTATTCAAGAATGACAAGATTGGTTCTAAATATCAAGATCATATATAGAGTCAAGGGTATTTAAGGATCTAAAATCTATCAAATTCTCTGAAGAATGCATCCATTAGTTAAGACTTTTGTTGTTTCAATTGGTATGATGACCGACGCTTATGAAATTTTCCTCATGAATATCTGTTATGTTATCATCAAAGAAATTTATGGAGAAACATCTTACTCATCAACATTGTCATCTGCTGTTTTAGTAGGAATGGCAATTGGTCAATTATTATTTGGAGTTCTTGCTGACACTATTGGAAAAAAATTAATGTTCATTACAACATTAACGATTCTCATTATCTTTTCTATTTTACAAGCATTTTCATTCGAAGTTATATCAGGAGCAGGACCTTATATTATTTTAGCTGTTATTAGATTTATATTAGGTTTGGGTATTGGAGGAGAATATCCACTTTCATCATCTATTGCATCAGAAGATGCTAAACCACATAACAGAGGAAGAAAATTAGTTTTCATTTTTTCTATGCAAGGTATAGGTAATATTCTTGCTCCACTTGTTGTTTTAATACTTTTATATACTCCTTTAAAACTTGATTATGTATGGAGAACAGCATTAGCCTTAGGTGCAGTTCCATGTATTTTAACATTATATCATCGTGTTATAATGGATATGCCAAAGAAAAAGAAGGACCATGTTACCAGTAAGTCTGAGGTTCGTAGTTTAATCAAAAAAAATTGGTTTTATTTATTTGGAACTGCTGGTTGTTGGTTCTTCTTTGACATAGCTTTTTATGGTAATTCAATGTTCAACTCAACAGTTTTACAAGTCATTGGATTTGGACCATCTGCAGATGATGAAGATCCACGAGATGGACTTATTTCAACAACTATTGGAAATTTGATTTTAGTGTTAATGGCATTCCCAGGTTTCATTGTTAGTTTTCTACTAGTTGATCGGATTGGAAGAAAACCATTACAATTATTTGGATTTGCTGGTACTGCTATTTGTTTCTTCTTAATGGCATTTTTTGAAGATATTATTCTTGAACACGTCCCTTATTTATTTGTTATAATATATGGACTTTCATTTTTCTTCCAGAATATGGGACCTAATACAACAACGTATATTAATGCAGCTGAAACATATGACCCACGAATTCGTGGAACGTTTAATGGGCTTTCTGCTGCTTCAGGTAAAATTGGTGCAATGATTGGTACTGCTGTTTTTAATCCATTTACAAATTCATTTGGTCAAACCGCTACATTTTGTACGTGTGGCGCATTAATGATGGTTGGATTTGGGTTGTCCTTTATTGTACCTGAAGGTAAAGGAGCTGATATTGAACAAATCGCTGATAGTTATCAGCAATTTGATGAAGAAACCAATCAAAAATGATTTTGTTATAATTTATAATTTTGCAATTTAAATTAATTTTTTATCTTATTTGCATAGTCTCTTCTTCGGTTCGAATATGACATATCAGAAACACTAAAATAAATCAAAACATAAAAATTTAATTATTTTTTGGTTATGGTGTTATATTTAGTGAGATATTACCTATTCAATAATAATGGTTATTAATTAAAAATATTTAAAATGAATGATTGTTAAGGAAGTATTTATTATGATGGTATTATTTGTTGAGTTAGATGTAAGTATACTTAATAATGATGGTGTTTTGCTGAATATATGTGCTGATTTCAAGAAAAAGTGATTGTTAAATGGTTGTTGGATTGAAGGAGATGAAACATAAACAAAGTGTTATTTATGTTTTCTTGTTAAAATAACAATTTAAAAAATAAGGAGTTTTAAAATATGCATTAAATTAAAATAAAAACAAAGAAACAACTTAAATGAAGATTAATGAAATTGATGATATTTGAAAAGACTTTATTTTAATAGAAACTCAACGTACTGAATAAACTGAGTCATTCACTTCTCAACCTGATGAAAATCTAATCTTTGGGTTAATCATAATTGATTTCTTTTTATTTGTAAAATATTTTCTTACAACTAATTTTATTTTTTAATAGTAATTTATTTTTAGTAAATAATAATATCTTTTTTTAAAGAAATAATACATCAAGTTAATATTATAACTATTTTTTAAATTTAGTTTCTTTTTTATTTAAAAAAAAAAAAGGTCAATTATTAGATATATCCTCAATTGGATTTTCTTCATACTGAGAAGTGATTATTTCAGTTTCTTCAATATGCTATATTTCTATAATAGAGTTCATTTCTAGCATGCTCGCATTAGATTGTTCTTCTTCTAATGTGCTGCCAGAATTGAATGCGTAAAACATTAAGTCTTTCATATTTTTTATAATAATTGTTCGTAGGATTTTGGGGAGGTCTAATTGTAATTTTAGTGTTTTTAATCTTCTTGCTGACTCTTTATGTATTAATCCATTTATTGATAATATAACAGGTATTATTTCTACATATATTATTTCTCTATTGTTTCTTAATTTCTCTTGTAATTCTTTGTATTTATTTATTTTATGAATGTAATTTAACTCTAAATTATTATCCTGACATATAGCAACATCTATAATATATCCTTTCTTTTCTTTCATATTTTGATAATATATATTATGTCTTCTAGCATGGAAATGAATTGTCATTAACAAATAAATCTTTATTGTAAATTATGATCATTTCATCATTATTAATACATTTAGGAGGATTATTAAAATCAATTACTTCAAATTCATTAAAATGGGTAATTAATAAATGTTTTGATAGTTGTTTACAAACATAATCATGTTTTAATATTTGATTCTTTTTCATTACATCCTAACAGTATATGATTAATAGATGCTATTGTGTTAGGGCAATGTTTACAATATTTTAAAGCATCATTTTTGAGTATTTTAGATTTAATACTTCCTGTCATACTTACACCTTCTTGCATTTTTACTATTTGGAGGAATGCATTTCTTTTTATATTTAATGACCTCCATGTGGTTATTGTTATTTTCTTATCATTGAAAGTGCCATTTGTACATCTTATATATTCACCACATTTCTTTTCTTTCCATTCACTTAAATATCTATCATTTAATTCATTATTTACCCATTCAAATACTTCCTTTACATTGTGCTTTCTTTCATTTAATTCTATTATATTCATTAATTCATTAAAATTAATCTTCTTACCAAATGCTTTCTTCATTCTTTTAATTATTCAATTTGGATTTTCTTTTATTGTTTCTATCATTTCTCCTATTTCTGTATTTGATATTTGTATTTTAAATATATTCTTAATAATTCTTTACCACATTCATCTATTGCTGACATTAATTCTAATCCCAATTCATTCATTTTAACATATAATCTACTTTTTGGTATATTTCTACTATATAATTGGAGGTGAATTAATGATTTTCTTATTTGTTTATCTATCTTCTCCAACTCTTCTAGTTTATATTTGACAATACAAAATCCATATCTTAATTTGGAGATTATATCATTATTAATCTTTCTTATTGTATTGAGACTGTTATATCTCATAGTATTTAATGATGATAGAATAGAAGATATATCATTTAATATTCTTGTACAATATTTATTAATATTTATTTTATCTCATATTTCAATACCAAGATATTTATAATGATTGTCATTAATTACTCATGGTAGTTCAGCTAATTCACCATTTATTTGACTATTGATATTAGTCATTATCTCCATCTTTTCTCTACATTAATTTTTAATCCTATTGCATTAAATATTTCTTTTGTTAATTTGTGTGCTTTTTCCATTTCATCGAGGCTATTAGTCATTATCTTTAAATCATCAATATATAATATGTGGTTTAACTGGACTTGTTTTTCTTCTCCATTCATTTTAATATTTAATTTGCTTATTCGTTTATCTAGTTGTTTAGATGATATATCAATAGATAATACAAATAAAAGTGGAGATAAACTTATCACC